TTTATGTGTGTGTGTGTGTGTGTGCGTGTGTGTGAGACAGACAGACAGGTGGGGAGAGTGGTGGAGCAGAGGTGAGAGAAGGTAGGCCTGTGATCGGAAGGCTGCCGGCTCAACTCCCTGAACCGGGATTGGCAGACAAGAACAGTCTCACCATGAACGGTTGCTGTAGCAACAAAAAACAAACAAAAAACACTTTTATTATAATTTACCCTCCTTAAAGTAATTCATTCAACCTTTATTTAAACAGGTTAGTCCCACTGAGCCACGAGTGCTCATTTACAAGGTAGGCCTGGATTTTACCAAAGTGATGACAACAATGACAACAATAGACAATCACAAAGGATGCGTACAAATGTATTTATTTTTTTACAATTGAAAACAAAATGATAAATAAAGGGATAATTAAAAGGAAACATAGCGAAAAAACAGCTAGATTACAAGGCGATGTAGTAAACTAAAAACAGGAACATGTCTGCGTTGTTTTTTTCCAAGAACTTAACAGATTCTTTAAGCCACTTAGAGAGGTCAAGGTTGAGAGCTTCAGATCTTTTTGCAACATATTCCAGGAAACAGGAGCAGAGTAGGAGAAGGTCCTTTTGCCAAGTTCAGTCCTCACTGAGGGAACACTGCAGGTAATAATGTCCTGAGAGCGCACGCTGTAGCTGCACTCACACAGAGACATGTAGGAGGAGATGTATGAAGGCAACAGACCAAAAAGTGATTTAAAGATGAAAATGTACCAGTGGGAGAGTCTGCGTGAAGTTAATGATGACCAGTTAACCAGTGAATACGGGGTGCAGTGGTGGGTATGGTAGTTCAATTCAATTCAATTCAATTTAAAAATACTTTATTAATCCCAAAGGGAAATTAATCGTTGTTGTAGCTCATCTTGGTTTCATTAGAGTTGTTCTAGATGCTGATAGTTTTGGGCAGGAAAGATCGCTTGCAGTCCGTCCCATAACAGATCTGAAGAAACTGGCTACAGATGCCGATCCATCCACCTAGACCCAGCAGACCTCTCATCCTCTTGGGTAGCAGGACTGCCTGAATGCCAAGCAGAACTCCTCCCCGAGCGATAGCCATTTCTCCCAGCAGCCTGCCGAGCCCCTCGTTACCGCGGACTTAACTGCAGGTGCCAGGGGTAAGATCTCAGACCTCCTGCTGTCACGAGCTGTGTGTCCTGTTACTTCCAAGATCTCGGCGGTCAGGCACTTGAGCACAGCCTCCACATAGACAGTAATGCATCTACGGCACCTCCTTTTAAACACATTTGGGGCTATAGCTGAGGTCTTATTTGACCTTTTGAGATGTTAATCAGCAGCTCTCAGTTGTAGAAAACCACCTTGTTGTCATGGTTACACATCATAACAAATGTCCAAAAGTAAAAAAGGTTTCAGTAAAAATCCTTCCAGCATCACAGCATCTGATACCAGAGAAAGTAATCATTCAAAAAAAGCGATTTAAATCCAGAAAAATTAGTAATGAAATTTTTCAAAAGCAAAATCTCAGAATGAATGTAACAGAGCTACTCCAACATGCAGCCACCTTGAACGGCGCAATTATGGAACAGCCATTTATGAATCTTAGTGCACCGTGATAGACAGCATCCAACATCTGCAGGGTGCTTGTAGAAGCATTAACTTAAATAATGTCACCGTAATCAATGGAGGGAAGGAAAGTCACAGATACAAAGCATTTCCTCGCATTCAGAGTTAGACAGGATCTGTTTCTGAAAAAGAAACCCAGTTTAACTTTCAGTTTCTTTACCAAGTTTTCCACATGGAGCTTATAAGACGGAAGTCGACCAAAATACCCAAATATTTATAGGAATCAACAAACTCAATCGGTACACCATTTGAGGATAAAATCAAAGGAAGAACTGCTGGGACCGTCTTCCTGTTTGAAAAAAGCATCCCTTTGGTTTTGTCGGCGACAAGTTTGAGACAGAACAAATCTGACTGGATGATGTCAAATGCAGATTGCAAAAGCTGGAAAGCCTTATCAACTGTTTTAGCACGACAAAAAACAACTCTATTATCAGCATAGAAATGTAAGGATGCATCAGTGATGATCTGACCTACATTATCTATGTAGATTGTAAAGAGGGTGGGTCCTAAGACTGAGCCTTGTGGCATACCATTGTTGACTGTTAAATAACTGGAGGAAGTACCATTATGTTGAACACATAGCCTCAGATCTGAGAGATAGTCAGAGAACCAACCAGTGGTGTGATCTGAGAACCCGATTTCTGAGAGCTTATGACACAAGATGTTATGATCCACAGTGTCAAAAGCTTTAGACAGGTCTAAGAAAAGTGCAGCACAATAATCCTTAGCATCCAGTGCTTCAACAAGGTCATTAAGAACCTTCAGTGAAGCAGTCGTTGTGCTGTGTTGTTTCCTGAAACCAGATTGATGGGGAGGTAAAATGTTAAATGAGTCCAGGTAATTTTTGATTTGAGAGTTTATCAGTTTTTCTAGAACCTTGGCTAAAAAGCAGAGTTTAGAGATTGGCCGATAGTTGTTCAGTGAGGTGGGGTCTCCTTCCTTCAGCAAAGGAAGAACAAAGGCTGTTTTCCAATTGTCTGGAATGGAGTTTTGTCTTATGGACAGGTTAAAGATGTGGGTCACAGGGACTGCAATGATTTGAGCGGCCAGCCTTAAGAAATAAGGTGGAAGACAGATTTTTTTGGGGGGTCTAAACCTTTTAACAGTTTATTAACCTCACTGACTGAGAACAGAGAAAGAGAAAATGTGTGATTTACTGAAGACTGACTTTATTTTTTTTCATTCAACCTTTATTTAGACAGGTAAATCCCATTGAGCCTCGAGGACTCATTTACAAGAGAGACCTGATTCTTGTAGCAGAGATTTGATTTGTAGAAATTTGGTTATTATGGGAAGTGGCTGATTTTCCCATAGTGACTGTGACACTGTGTAATAACAAAGGCAGCTGTAAAAAAAATTCCATCCATCCATTATCTTTTATCCGCTTATTCCTTTCCGGGTCACGGGGCTCACTGGTGCCCATATCCATCCATCAATGTAGAAGAGGCAGGGGACACCCTGGACAGGTCTCCAGTCCATCACAGAGACGCATAGAGACAAACGAGACAAACAACCATTCACGCTCTCACACCTAGAGACAATTTAGAGTTACCAATCAACCTAACATTCATGTTTTTGGTCTGTGGGAGGAAACTGGAGTACCTGGAGAAAACCCACACATGCACAGAGAGAACATGGAAACTCCACCCAGAAAGGCCCCCAGCTGGAATTTGATCCGGCAACCTTCTGATGGAGAGGCAGCAGCTCTACCAACTGTGCCACCATGCTGCCCCTAAAAGAAAAATCTATTTTTTAATTGCTAATAATATATTTTATATCAGCACAGCTTTTTTGTATACAAAGATGATGATTGAATTGATGCTGCATCTAAAATATGATGATTTGCTGATAAGGTTTGCATTAATAGGGAAGCTGAATAAATACTGGTGAATAATGGAAAATGCTTTGCCTTATACAAGTGACATACCAGTGGAGGTTTGGAAATGTCCCAGAGAGATGGCAGTGAGGGTTTTGACTCAAATATTTAATGGCATACAGTATGTGAGAGTGAGAAAATGCCTGAGGAATGGAGAAGAAGTGTGCTGGTGTCCATTTTTAAGAACAAGGGTGATGTACAGAGTTGTAGCAACTACAGGGGAATAAAGTTGATGAGTCACACAATGAAGATCTGGGAGGAAGCTAGACTTAGATGAGAGATGACTATCTGTGAGCAGCAGTATGGTTTCAGGTCGAGAAAGAGCACCACAGATGACATTTTTGCTTTAAGGATGCTGATGGAAAAGTACAGAGAGGGTCAGAAAGAACTCAGTTGTGTCTTTGTAGATTTAGAAAAATCATCTGACAGTGTGCTGAGGGAGGAGGTGTGGTATTGCATGAGGAAATCTGGAGTAGCAGAGAAGTATGTTAGACTGGTACAGGACATTTATTGGACTAATTTAATCTAACTCGGCATGTAAACGGTCCCACCCAAGAACGTGGACGTACACTGGACCTTGTTTTAACTCATGATGTGACTGTTAATGATCTTGTTATTGGAGATAATGTTTTTTCAGACCACATGCCAGTCCAGTTTGAGTTCACCCTCCCCATCTAACTCCTAAACCGTACATTCTTGCACGTAGTACCCAGGCTATTAAACTTTTCACTGCCACGCATTTCACAGATGTTTATAACTCTGAAATGATAATTCAGCCCCTGGTGTTTCTCACCACCACTGAGGAGCTGACATCCCAGTTCAACTCTGTCTGCTTAAAGACTCTAGATCATGTTGCGCCTGTTAAAACCAAAAAAATCAAAACTCAGAGCAGAACCTTGGCTGAGTGACGTCACCAAGGCTGTTAGGCAGCAATGTAGGAGGGCGGAGCGAAAGTGGAGGAAAGACAGGCTGCAGGTCTCTTTTCAAATACTTAAAGAGAGTTGGTACTGTTATCAGAATGTGGTGAAAGCTGCTAAATCCAAATACTTTTCTGATATAATTACCTCAAACTCTCGCAACCCACGTGTCCTCTTCTCCACCCTAAACTCTGTTC